TCATTTTATAATAATATATCTTCATGCAGATTTGTTTGTGTTCTTCTGGTTTATGTAACTACTACTACTACTACTACTACTACTACTACTACTACTACTACTACTACTACTATTACTTTCTCCTCCTCCTCCTCCTCCTCTTTCTCTTTTTCTTCTTCTCCTCTTCCTCCTGGGGATTGAACTCAGGGGTAATCAACCACTGAGCCACATCCCCAGCCCTATTTTGTATTTTTATTTAGAGACAGGGTCTCACTGAATTCCTTAGCACCTTGCTTTTGCTGAGGCTGGCTTTGAACTTGCGTATTCCTGCCTCAGCCTCCAGAGCTGCTGGGATTACAGATATCTTGAATCTGAAGTGTTCTATCTTTTGCCAAATTTGAGAGATTTCCCAATCGTTATTTCTTTGAATACTTTTTAGCCCATTCATTTTCTCCTCTCTTTCTGGGGACACATGATATGAACGTGATATCTTTTGCTATAGTTTCTAAGGTCCTTGAAGCTCCATTCATTCTATTTTATTATGCATTTCAAAATGAGTGATTTTATTTAGTTTTAGTCTGTTTTTGGATCAGGTGAGTTTTGTTATTCTACCTTTAAAATCAATAATTGAGTTATTCCTCTATCCTTTCCATTCTACAGTATGTCCCATACATTTTATTTTAAATTTCAATTATTTTTTAGTTTTAAAATTTCCCTTTCATTTGTGTGTGTGTGTGTGTGTGTGTGTGTGTGTGTGTGTGTGTTTAGTTTTGTTCTAGAACGGGAATCCCAGAAATACATTTTTTGGATTAAAGAAAGATATTATCTTAATTCTTCCCTTTGAAGCTATACAATATAATTATTATATAATATATGTATATAATTATACAATTATTTACACACTAATTGTCCTGGTAGTTTAAAATTATTTTCTATGTAATTTACATTGATTATGTAATTTTTATAGCAACACTAATTTTTATTCATACTATAAGTGTTTATTCAGTGCGTATCATATATGACATCTTTTTTAAAGGTTAATCAGATGGTTTTGCTTTAGCTACAAATGGTTATGCAGTTTGTTTATTTACAGAGAAAATAACCACATTTTTGCCTTTTTAGTAGGTCACAAGCATATGTGGGAGAAGAAAGATTGTGAGCTGAGTTCTTTAACCTTCATATAAAAGATACAAGAGTTTGATTTACAGGCTTATCCTGCTTTTCTCTCTATTTCACTGATTTATCAATGCCTTGTTGTGGAACAATACACATTTTGAAAAGGCAACAGATTTCTTGAGATAAAAATACTCTGAGTTTTTAAAAAAATATTTTTTTTAGTTGTAGTTTGACACAATACCTTTATTTTATTTATTTATTTATTTATTTATTTATTTATTTCATTAAAAATGAATATTTTATTTGCACGGGCTGTACAATTTCAATATTAAAATGTCCTTCTTAAGATTTATTTTATTTATTTTTATGAGGTGCTGAGGATTGAACCCAGGGCTTTCTACGTGCTAGGCAAGAGCTCTACCACTGAGCCACCATCCTAGCCCTGACTCTCAGCTTTTTGAGTGGCCATCCAGGAAGGAGCCTAAGTATCCTCTGGGCTGGTCATCTTCATTTACTTCAGTGTGTTGTACTAAAATTCGGATTATTTGTACCATGAAAAGGTTAAGAGGCACTTCTCTAATTTCATAGGTTAAAGAATGAGGTTCATATGCAAATTGTATTTTGTATAAATTTGTATATGTTTGTATATGTTTTGTATATGTTAGTATATGTTTATATATGTTCGATAATATAGTTTCATTCTCCTTCACAAAGAAACTTTTAATTGTCTCCAGTGGCTCTCAATCTTTATTGAGGTCATCATTTGGAAGCCTTGTTAAAACATAGATTGCTCAGCCCCACTAATAGTTTCTGATTCATTGGGGTGATGGTCAATAATTTGCTTTTCTAGAATGTTTCCAGATGATGCTGATGATGCTACTTTGGGGATTTTACTTTGAGAACTATACATCCACATAGAAATCTTCTACTTCCTCATTTCCTTTGGTTCCTCAATTATTTCAGTCTGATTTTAATTTTTATCATTTTATCTAACCATTCTTTATAACATCTGCCCTAATCTTAATGTTGCAAAATCTAATGCAGACTTTCATTTCCTCATCTTATTTGATGTGTTGAAACCTATCAATATTGTCAATTTCTCTTTCCTTTTAGGAAACTCTTCTTTTTGGTTTGGAGACTTTTCTTCATCTCCTTCCTTCCCCCCTTTCATTCTCTACATGCTCTTTTTCAATTTAATATTTTCTTAAATCAAATTGTAAGTTTTGGAGTTAGTCTGGGTATTCTTCACACATTCTTTTACTTTCTATTCCTAAAAGGTATCAATCCTGTCTATAAGATAATAATTTTCAGTTTATGTGTCTCAAGATTAAAACTGCTTTCTAAGGTTTATTACAGCTTGATTAATTGCTTTCTACATGCCTACTTGAATACTTATGAACATTTCAATTATATACCCAGAATGAAATATTGTAGTTATGCATTTTAGTATCTTGAAATTTATAAGCCTTACTGTAAGTTTCAATGAAATAGACTAATCCCTCCTACCTTTTCCCTAACAAAAAGTGCTGTTTTTTTATGTTCTCCATCTCATAAATTCTCTTTTCTTTGACTCAGTTGTTAATGTTCAGAAACCTGTGAGTGAATCTTGATTAAAAAAAGAATACACACACATATAGTATATATTAGTTGTAGATGGACACAATACCTTTATTTTATTTATTTGTTTTATGTGATGCTGAGGATTGAACCTGGTGCCTCACACTTGCTAGGCAAGTGCTCTACCACTCCAGCCCCTCTTCAATCTTTTTTAGCATTGTATTTCTACCCCAAAATTCCTCATTACCCTCTCATTTTTGTTTATCTTTTAACCATGTGTATTGCCATCACCTTTGTTCAGGTTATAATTATGTTTCCCAGGGACCACTGCAAATGCCTTTTAACTTTTGGTTTCTTCCATTCTAATCTCTATACAGTACTTAGAATTACCATTAAAATATATATA